AATAACTACCACCAGCTGCCCAACCACTCAACCAGGCCCAGCCAAGTTGACACACAAACTGAACTACCAAACTACCCTTCTAAATGATCTCTCTCAGCATGGGTAACCAGATAGATCATGATATTTTTCAAGCCCAGGGTGGAAAATAATTTTAGGGTGAGGGTGTTGAAATTTTCTTCTGGCTTTGTTAAATTTAAGATGCCTGTGATATTAGAGAAGGATCTCTGGGTGACACAGTGGTTAAGGCGTTTTGCTGATTACCAAAAGGTTAGTGGTTCGAACCACCATCCAGTCCATGAGAGAAAGATGAGGCACTCTGCTTGCATGAAGATTGAAAACCTTGGAAACCCAATGGGGGTTAATTTGATGGCAGTGAGTTTTAGGTAGAGTGTAGTTGGAAATGTGAGTATAGAGCTTAAGAGATTGTCTAGAATGGAGATTTATATTTGAGAGCCACTATCAAGATGGGGCAATCTACTTCCGTAGTGATACTGCCTCAGAAACCCAAGGAGGGGTCGCTATGAGTCAGGTCCGACTCATCGGCACATAACAACAACAAATCATGGTTGTCCATGAACAAGATAACTCAGAGAAAGAGGTTACATTAAAAGGAGAAATGATGGACCTTAGGGAAAACCAACATCTAAGTCTTATATCATTATGCTCATATATACTACTTACCAATGTACTAACCCCATAGCAGATGATCAATAAACTTGTAGATTAAATAGAAATGTAAACATTAACAAATTGTCTGCACACAACTGTAGTTATTACTCAACTAGGAAACCATTCAGCAGCTTAAGAATAGACTAGACACAGATGCTTGGTGGGTCTTCCATTACCTCAACACTTTCTCCTCAGCTGTATATTTCTGATATAACCCTTTCAAGACTGAATTATTTTCTGCTTCGATTTTTTTTTTTTTTTGAAACCGTGTTTCCAGTAACAGAAGGCATTTTGAATGAAAGAAAAAAAAATTTAGGTAATACAGATTTTGATACAATTAGTGGGACACAAGTCTCAGGCAGTGTCTGGTGCTAAGGTTGGTGGGCTGACGCCTCATTCTTCAGAGTCATCCAGTTATACAGGCAGAGTGCAGCACACACTGAAAGTAGGATCACAGCTATCCACTAAACCCCAGAGGCAGAAAATGTAGGTGGGTTCTTTATAGCCCAGGGGTTATGAAAGGGCTGAGCATGAGGAAAAGTCATTGCCAGAGAAGGATTAAGATAATTAAATTGAAGCAAGTGACCCTGGATTACCTTTCATGATTTTTTTTTCAAAACTTTGTTAGCTGCTACTTCCTCTGTACTCTGTAACATCATGTGAGTACCTTTGAACAGGTGCATGTTTATTACCAAATCAAACCCTATTGCTGTTGAGTCAATTCCAAGTCATAGTGACCCTCTATGACAGAGCAGTACTGCCCCATAGGGTTTCTAAGGTTGTAAGTCTTTATGGAAGCAGACTGCCACATTTTCCACAGTGTCTAGTTGGTTCAAGTCACCAACCCTTTGGTTAACAGTTGAGTGCTTAACCACATCTCCACCAAGGCTCCTTACTCATTTACAGTGTAGTGCCTAAGACATTTGATTGCTCACTGCTAATCAGAAGGCTGGCATTTCAAACCCACCAGCCACTTCTCAGAAAGAAGACTGGGCAATCTACTTCCGTAGAGATACCACCTTGGAAACCCAAAGAGGGGTTGCTATGAGTCGGATCCAACTCAACGGCAGTGAGTTTGGTTTTTTTTTTAACATGTCTGTTTCAGCCACCAGAGTGAGCTTCTTAAGAAAGTGGGTTTTTTTAGATTCTCATGTGGTTTATTGTTATATCAATCAATAAATGAAGTGTTCTTTCTCTACTGTAGGTTATCTACTTTTGGAAATGCAGGAAGCTCCCATCTTGACTATCCCAAAGATTCTGATTTGATGGAAGCATTTCATTGTAATCAGACCCAGATCAATAGGTCAGTTCTTAATATGCAGGTTGACATTGGTGGTGAAGGTGAGGGTAGATACCAAATTTCTATCAGATTAAAAAAAAAGCCTTACATTTGTGACTAAAAATGTACATTTTTTAAAATGTAGACGGTAAGGTGCTGGGTTTTCTTGGGGATTTGGGTTGTAATGTTGGATAAAATTTTTAAAAATCAAGAGAAAATACCAGATTAGACAAGTATTTGATTTTATTCTTTTATTTACTACTTGGTAGTTCTTGGCTGATTTTTATACGTGGAGTAGTACTGCTTTATGGGAGTTCAAATAACAGCTTTTTGTTTACTCTTCTACAGATACAAGATTTCTTTACTGAAACCATCTACAAAGGCATTAGTCCTATCTTGTAAGGTATCTATTCGGACAGATAACAGAGGATTCCTCTCATTACAGTACATGATTAGAAATGAAGATGGACAAATAAGTTTTGTGGAATATTACTGCTGCCCTGATGAAGTCCCTGAATCTGAATCTTAAGTATCACAATTGACTGATGTTTATGTATACATTCAGGAACAGTTATGTTCTCATTCTGGGTACAATATTATTTGTGATTTCTTACTGGATTTCCTATAGGAGAGAAGCAAAGACGAGGAGCAAGACCCCTGTGTCTGAATAGTTGCTGTGTATTTTGTAGAGAACTGTTTTTAAGGACTCCTGGATTATCCACTGTTGGCCTATCCTGCGGTTCTGTCTTTAAACTCATGGGAACAATGACAAATAACCAAAGTTCTGCTCTGTTGCAGTAGGACATTTCAGGAATCTCAATATTTAAAAGTTTGATGAGGTCTGGGTATTTCTTACTACTTTGAATTCTGGAGAATACATCTTAAAAGCAGTAGTTTTTAAAGTGTGCCTAGACCAGCAGTAGCATCTCAGAACTTGTCAGAAACTCTGGGGGTGCAGCCCAACGATCTGTACTTCAAACAGCCTGGCCCTAGGGGATTCATATGCTTAGTAAACTTTGAGAACCACTGTTAAGAAAGTACTTATTAGACACCTTTGATTTGCCTGTAAGAGTTTCTCTACCAAAGAGTAGAAACCTAGTTATTAAGTAGTTTTGTACTTTCACTGAAACAATTGTTCAGTTTTTACTGAACTAATTTTTCTTTTTTTATTTTTTAAAATGTATTTTATTGAAATATAATTTATGTACAGTGAAATACACAAGACTAAAGTGGCATGGGTCAATGTATTTTTTTTTTTTTTGCAGTATTCTATGCCCTCCCCTGCCACCCCTGGAAACCAACAAAGAAAGTTTCCCTCCATGTGTAAACCTTTCCTTGACCCTCCACAACAACAAACTCTAATACTATATTTGTCTTTCTGTGATTGACTTATGTCACTCAGCATAATGTCCTATTATGCGGTGTTTTGCAGACTCCATATTATTCTTTAGTGCTACATAGCATTCCATAATGTGTATGTACCATAGTTTAATCATCCACTCTTCTGCTATAAATCTTAGAGATAAGTCCCTTGGCATGTAATTATCAGCAAATAGGAATTTGTTGGTGTCATTTTTGCCATGTGCTTTTTCATTGTGTCACTTTGTTTCATATAATTTTCTATGCTGAGCTTGTTTTGTTTATGAATCATGTTATCACTTCCTTCATTGCTATTGTTTTAGTATTTGCTGAATATTTATGCTGGTCCTCTTTTTTGTTTTGAGGTTACCTGTGATTTATAGTTTTCTTCCCAAGTTTAGAACAGTCCATTCTATCTTGTAGTTATCTTGTCTTGTAGTTATCTTGACTTCCCTACCATCTAGAAGTTCTGTAACAACACAGATTTTTTCCCTGTTTTTGGTTTGTAGTTGTCCTCATTTGTCAGTTGGTGTCTCTGGTGCCCTGTTTACAATCTTGTAGGTTTGTTTACTTTGGCTACTTCCATAGCTGGGTTGGTTTCTGGGTTATATCATCATGTGTGTTAATGGTCAGTTGTTGTTGCTGTGTTGCTTCTCTGTCCAAAGGGTTCCCTTTAGCATCTCTTGTATGGTTGGTCTGATTTTAACAAATTCCCTTAATTTCTGCTTATCTGAAAATGTCCTAATTTTACAATCATATTTGAGGGACAGTTTTGCTGGGTACATAATTCTTGGTTGGAAATTTTTCTCTTTCAGTGTTTTATATATACCATCCCATTGTCTTCTTGCCTGCATGGTTTCTGTCGAGAAATCCAAGCTTAGTCTTATTGGTTGCTTATAGGTAACTTTTTGTTTTTCCCATGCTGCTCTCATGATTCTTTCTTTGTCTTTGGTTTTGGTGAGTTTGATGATGATATATCTTGGTGTTTTTCTTTTGGGGTCTATCCTGTTTGGGATTCTTTGGACTTCCTGAATGTATATATTCTCATCTTGCATCATACCAGTAAAATTCTCTTCCAACAAATCTGTGTTAGACTGGGTTCTCCAGAGAAACAAAACCAGTAAAGCTTATATACAGAGAGAGAGATAAATTTATCTTAGGGAAAATGGCTCACACACTTACAGAAGCTGGCAAGCCCAAAGTTCTTGGATCAAACATCAAGCTGGGGGCTTTTCCACGTCAGGCTGAAGGCTTTTCCCAACTCTTGCAGCTGTAGGGGCTGAGGAGCTGAAGGCTGGCAGGCAGTACACTGGCTGTTGACTCCAACAAATGATGAATCCAAGATCTCCAGGCTGAATGGTAGATTGTTCACTCACAGACAGTTGTAGGCAGCACAACAGAATCCCGATCCACAGAAGAATGTCTCTTTTCCCAGGATGTCCATAAATACACTGGAAGCAGGCCACACATGTAGGGAAACTCTCTTTCAACGGATTGGCTGCTCAAAATATATTCATCTGATCCCATCATGGGAATAAACACATCATAGCTGCTTAAACCACATAGTCCAGCCAAGTTGACATACAGCTCCAGCTATCACAAAATCTTTGACAGTTTTCTCTATGGTTTTGTCTCTTCCTGTTCTGGAATTCCGATTACACATAGGTTATTCCTTTCTCCAAGTCTGTCTTAGTCTGGAAGCTCTGCTGAAACCTGCCCACCGTGGGTAATCCTGCTGGCATTTGAAACACTGTGGCCTAGCCTCCAGCCTCACAGCAACACTCAAGTCACCACAGTATGGCACACTGACAGATTTGTCTCCCTTAGCTGTTCCAAAGTGCTCCGCTCATTTCCTGGTCTCCCCACCCTGCTGGCTTATCCAGCCTGTCCGTGGGGCGCTCCACACAAACACCCGCGTTCCACTGCTTCCAGCTGGCTTACTGCATCCTGCCCCCAGGGTGCTTGCTTCACACACACAAACACCTGCCTTCTGCTGCTCCCCAGCTTGCTATCTGTGGCCTGCCCCTGGGGCCCTCGCTCCATGCACACAAATGCCCCATCTCTAGACAGGGCTAAAATCACCAGAAATAGACTTGGGCTGGTTAGTGAGCACTGCCTTCAGCTAGGCCTTAGGCTTGGGTCCTTGGTCCTGAGCACCAAATCCAAAGCAATATGGATGTTAGCCAAGGGAGGGAAGCAGCTGCCAGAAGAAAGCGTACCAGTATATGGGCAAGACTTTGGATTAATTGGTATACATGTACTCCTGCCACAGCAGAATACCACTCACTACTCATACGTTATGTACTTGTTGACTGTTAGGTTTTACAGACTGAACAAATGTGTAAAATGAGGTACTGTTTTGAATGAAGGACCAATATGTGGTTTTAAGCACTGAGTGAGTGATAAGAGATGTTAGGTAGAAAGACTTGACTCCCCAAAGATCCAAGGTCTTTGAGCTTCATGAAATTAGGTCAGTTGACTAAGGAAAGGATGAATAAATAAAAATACATTTTATAGTGTAAAACTCAAGTGAATCTATTTCTTTTTTGTCCCTGAGTACACAAAGAAGGATATGTAAGGAAAATAATTCAAGATTGCCATTTTCTTCTAGGTAAACTCTTATTTAGAGCCTGAGGACTTTAACATCCTCAGTGAGCATTCCTTTCTTAACAGAAGCCTTTTTATTTCAATATGATGAAAGCAGCTAGCATAAAAAAATTTTTACATCAAGTCAATTCCAACTCATGGTGATCCCATATGTTTCAGAGTAGAACTACACTCCTTAGGGTTTTCAATGGCTGTGACATTTCACACATCAGTCACCAGGCCTTTCTTCTGAGGACTTCTGGGTAGATTACAAGCCACCAACCTTTCAATTAGTAGTTGAGCACTTAACCATTTGCATCACCCAGGAACTCTGAAGGCAACATACTGGGATTGGAAAAAATAATTGTCTTTAACAGGGTTCGCTAGAGGAGCAAAACTAGGGAAACATACATATAGGTATATGTTTATATAAAAAGAGAATTATTTCAAGGAAATGGAGGCTGGCAGGTCCCAAATCTGCAGTTCATGTCAGGCTGGAGGTTTCTCCTGACTCACATGATTCCACGGAGCTGATGAACTCAAAATCGGCAAGTCACATGGCAGGTTGCTGGCTCCCTCTCAGGAACCAGGAGGTCAGAGGATGATGAGTCAGATGCAGGATTGAGAGAGAGAGAGAGAATTTTGCCAGACCCGTGTGTGTGTTTGTGTGTGTGTGTGTGTATGTGTGTATAGGATGCAGGCCACACCCCTAAGGAAACTGATTGGCTTTTCAAGTGATTGGCTGCTCACATCAGATCACAAAATTGAAGATGATTGCCTTTCTATTACATTGTGGAAGAGCTGTCAGTCCAATGTCTGCCAAACCACTGAGAATCATAGCCTACCCAACTTAACACATAACATCAATCATCACAGTAATCATCTGCTATTCCAGAAGTCTGCTTTATGATTACCAGGCTGGCCTTGAGTGGTTGACTTAATCAATCTTATTCCTATTCCTTCATTTATAAAATAAAAGGATTTTTATGATTGCAGTAGACCAGATGGGTCATATGTTTCAGAAGGGGTAGGATATTTCCTCAAAAAGCTATCTTCAGTGATCTCAAAGAGATTGTGAATAAAAACATTTCCAAACAGCGTATGAAAATGTTTTCAATAAACTGCTTAAGTAATGCAGGATAAAAATCAGGACTGAGATTAGAGGTAGAAAAAGAAAAGTGGAAAGCACTAGGGTCTAGTGCCATAAGGAACAATCAACTAAAAAGCATGTGTCTGAAGAAAGATTTCTTTCCCCCTAGTTACAAAACGGGATCATGAGTTCTTATGGATCCCAGGCATTTTACCTGTAATGCTTGTTGCTAAGTAAGCCTTTCTTCCCTAGGGTCTTTGGTCAAAAACTGCTCTTCTGCCATTGATCTGCCACAGCTATCAGTGTTGATAAATACATTTTGTGGTCCAGAATTTTTATTATCAACAAGGTTGGTGTTATTGTTGACTGTTTTGTATAGTGTTTTCCTCTTTAGTGACAACAAGACCTAGGGAAAAGGAGGAAACCATTTGTGGTTTTTTTTTGTTGTTGTTCTTCCTTCTCTTCCTCCAAGACCAACCCATCCTCTCCCCAGCCTCAAATCACTCTGCTCTTATCTATCTCAAGGGCAGCTGGCTTGGTTTTTTGGTTTTATCTGAGCTAGAAGCAGAACTCAGCCTGGGACAATAGACTCTTTCAACCTGTTTCCAACAGCTTACCCCAAAATGCTGACTCCTGATAGGTCTCCAAAAATG